AATCCAATCCTTTTTAACTAAAGTTTTGCATTCCTAGATATATATTGCAATCAAAGTACTTTTCCTAATTTAATTCAGTTCCACCCTAAATTCATATGAAATCCGAATTTAAGTTATGTGTTCTTAATCCTAATCGCAATTTAAATAAATTCCTAATTATGCGGGGTGTTACATTAAGTCACTTATAACAACAAGTATCCGATTACTTTTCGGGGAGTATTCGAATACTTTTACAAACCCATAAAGTATTCCATTACTGTTCATCAGGTATTCGAATACTTATTTAACTAAGAAATTATTCGATTACTTTTGAGAAAGTATTCGATTACGTTTATGCAGATGATAGCAAACTATTGATTTTTCGAATTCAAATGCTTCTTTATGATTTTCTATGACTTCTAAATGATTCCTAGTGACATCTAACATATGTATGATTATGTCTCACACTTAAATAACAACTCTTGAAGTGTGTGTGACCTTGTATGCATGATCAAAGTGAATATGTGTCACGCATATGAGTTTTTGGTCTATTTATATAATTCTCAAGTTAAAGCTCAATAAAATCATTTCTATAAGTTCTATGACTGTAAATTAACTATATAAATAGTAAGTACATGAGTCTTCATTGTTTGATCTTTTTAGTACTTGATTTGACTTGAACTTTAACTATGCCAATTTGAGTCTTTTCTTCAACTTTGCACTTTGTTATAGGCTTCTTGTATCTTTTAGGACTTGTTGTCATGCCTTATATTGAGAGCATCCTTGTTGTGTATAAAACCTCATAATTCTAAAATACTTAATTACAGTTAAAATATGGATTAAAGGATAGGATTAGTAAAAATCCTGAATTCAGAACCAAAATACGTAAAAAGGGTAAAATGGTAAATTGTCAAACACGTAACCCTAGGAAATGAAATATGAGTAGAAGGTTTCAAATGAAAAAAATAATTTTGGAAATGGATTCAGAACGAAAAATTGAGTGGTTAGGCAAGTTTCTGGAAATTTGATGAATAGTAGTTTTACCAGATAAAAATATAGCGATAAAGTTGCACCGAAAAGCGTGCTGAATGAATTTTGAGCTCTAGGTTTGAGAATAAGTTATAAATGGTACATAAGACTAAGATTTATGATTTTTAATGAAAATTGATTGAAGTTAGGGTTTTTGGGGGAAGCATGCCTACTGTGCGCAAAACAACTTAAAACTATGATTTCACCGAACAACCGAAAAACTCCGGATTCATCTTATCAAGGGAAATTAAAGGATATTGGCGAATGTTAAAAATTGAAGTTTCTAAATAGTCTAGGAATTAATGGACGTTAGTGGTTTAAGCGAGAGATTTGCATTAATTTGAAACGCACGATGTAGCAGTGGGACCACCCACTTAAGTTATAACATGACAACTAGGCAAGTGGCACTATTCACTCATCTCCCTCCCTTCTCTCTCTCTTGAACCCATGGCCATGGAGCTGTGTATGGGAGAATTTCTTGTTTTGATTCCTTGATGATTTAGCCACCAAAATCAACAAAGTTTGTCATCAAACTTCAAGTAAACAACAATCCAAACACAACCATACCATCCACAACTCTTGAAACCCTCTAGTTTGAGATAAAATTGACACCCATTGCCACAAAAATTTGAGGAGATTTGGTATTTTTGGAGTTGTTGCTCAAGCCATTGCTTGGGTATTACTTGGTGGAGTCTTAGGCCTTGATTGTGGGAAAGTTTCAACATATTTCATTGGATGATTTGTTGGATTTATTTCATGAACCCTAGAGCATATGTTGTGTGATTGATGTGGTTGGGGACCTCAAATTAAAAATGTATATTAAAAAAAGTGTCTTAGAATGATATTTTATGTTGATTGGGATCGTAAAATTTATTAATGAAAAGTATGATAACTTAGGCAAAATTATGTTGGATATGCATGCCTTTATGAATTGGAATTATGGTGGGATTGTATAATTGAGTTGTGGAGTAATTGTATGGGTTAATTATAGGATTGTAGGATGTATGGAAGTGTGGAATTGAATTGAAAATCTATTGGTATGTACATAGGTACAATTCGGCCATTCAAGGAGAAATAAGGATGGATGTTGAAAAATTCATGTAATTGGTGTTGTGTGGATTTGATCTATGTTTAAATGGGTTGTGTGTTGTTGTGATGCATGTGGATTGGAAGTGAAACCATTGGATATGCCTAAGGGTTGAATTTGGCCTAAAAGAGGGAAATTAGGAAAGTTGAGGTTGAGTGGTAATTTAATGAAGTTGGGGACTTGAAATGATGTTGTTGGGAGCTTGGGAAACCATTGGGATTTTTAAATGAAATTAACAACGTGATTATGTATTTTTGGCCATGATAACCGAACCTAGGTGTGGGTGTGTGGGAGTAGTGTTTTGTATTTTGACTTGGTTGCACCATTGAATTGATTATCCTTGTGTGATCATTGTAGGTTGCCTCCCACTGACGTGAGCTTTGAACATTGAGCTTGGTGGATTGCCAGTCCTTGACCAAAACGATTGTGGAAAGTGTTTATGGTAATTTGCATGAATACTTGAATAACCAAGTGTATGTTGTTATGTGGTTCTAATTGATATGGGAATGACCTGTGTGTAGGCATTTCTGGTTAGACCAAGTTCAGTTGTATCTTGCATTGGAGCTACCTAGAGAAGGAGCTTCAATAAGATAATCTCTTGGTACTGGGGTTAATCCCCGTGTGTGCTCCACCATGCCCCTTGGGGGTAGTGGTTGGAGGTTGTATGTCAAGACTATAGTTATAACATGCTCATACATAAGTATATATATTGGTACATATGATGCATCGTATCTCTGGCCAGTAGATAGTTGCCTTCGGGCGTTACGGACTTCCACTGGATAGGTTTCCGTGAGGGAGTTCCAGTTGACCTGGATCATGGAGTTGTTATCCGTTGAGGAGCACTCTAGGAATGTATCGGGTGTATTGGTGGTGGGTGCCTTGGTTGAGAGCCCGTACGCTATATACCGAGGCTAATAGGCCGGATGTTGTGTGGTTTTGGCTTCGACCATTCCAGCTTCATCGTATGTTTACTCCCTATGCATCCTTACTTCACTAAATACATTGCTTTATCTCGTTTAAGTTGTTATGGTGCATTGTTAATATTACATCTGAGTGAGCCATTGGGCTGAGTGATCTCCAGAATCTCTGGGTTACTGAGATATATTCGTATATCTCACCCCGTGTTTGGGGCATTACTTCAGGTGATTGTTGTTGCGACTCGGCAAGTGCACCGGTCGTAAAGTAATAAAGTGTACCGGAGTACGAGATCGTTCCCACGAGGATCAAAATCTTCAAGAACTAGTTCGCTAATTGCATCTTAGTTGGACAATCAAGAATTTAGATGAAGAGAATTGTATTTGAAGAACTTAAAATTAAAAACAAATAATAGCATGCAATTAAGAAAATTCAGAATTATAAGAATGAATGAAGATGATGTTTGATTAAGAATTTAAAACAAGCATAGTTAAGGTACTTCTCCCAATATCCTCAATATGTTATGAATTAAATAGCCAAGAATCTGTTTCTTAATATATTGCCAATCAATTCTATCTAAGTTAATTACGGCTCAATTCCTTATTACCATAAATCTATGTAATCTTGAAAGAACTCTAATTCCCCGATTATTCCCTAAGAAAACATGCATTAAGATCAAAAATTTCAAGATTGCATAATTACCCTATGCCTATTCCTGGATAACAAGGATATGATAAATTATCAAGTCAGAGTTCATGCACCAACATCCCTATTGTCATACAATTCCCCAAAATCATTCTATAAGGAACAAAATCAGAGAAAGCATTAAAAACAGATAATTTATTCAATTATAAAAAGAACAAGATTCAGAGACAATTTAATTCATAAACATAAAGATTCAATTGGATTCCATCTAACCTTAACTACTGATGCTCTCCCGCAAGTATACCGATCGCACAAGTAATATAATGAATAAGTAGAGTATCATCTCCACAGGGATTGTAAACCAAGTACTACAATAACCAGTCCCCTTAAGTTGGAAAACTCGGTTGTTTTTGGAAAATAGTGAATTGATGGTAAAATAAAGACAGAAATTTAAAATATAATTTTCAATTCAAATAGCAATGGTAAAGTTTGGATTTTTGAGAGAGTAATAAAAAACATTGCAGCTAAGGTACACGCACCATATGATCCCCACTTTAAACTTTGGATTGATTGACAACGTTCATTCAATTTAATAACTCAGACAAATTATCATCTAAAATATTTAGTTAAATCCCAATCCCTTGACAATCTAACCTTTTAATTCAATTGGAATCATAATCCCTTAGCAACCCCGCATGAAATTAAGCATTAATCACGATAAATCAAACGAGTGTAACTCACACAAGTCTATCCCTAGAGCATGCATAAATTGTTACCTTACCCCCTTTCAGAATCAAAAACCCCAATATTCCTATTGCGAGACCTAATCCCTACAGCACGCCAAAACGCTCTGTGGCAGTGAGTTGGCCCCTGTGAACATAGGAGCATGTTTTGGCGCTCAGGAGCACGTCAAAACGTGCTCTTCGAATCCTTATTTTGGCCACTCCAGAGCGTTTTGGCGGTCAGATGTGCGCCAAAACGCTTAGAGGCAGGGAGCATTTGCGTATTTTACTCTTGTTAGTATGTTTTAGCGTGCAAGTGGCCGCTAAAACATAATCTTTGAATCTGAATTTTTCTTCTTCAACGTTTTGGCGGTTAGAAGGACGCCAAAACGTGATGAGGCAGGGACCATTTGTATATTTAAGCTTTAAAATTTCATACCTTAGCCTCTTGAGTTGTCGTTTCTTCCTCCTTGAACTTAGTCACGACCTTGGCCTCACTTATCTATCTCTTTTTGTTTTCCTTTCTTGAAATCAAAATAAACTAAAATTTAAAATAAGCAGCAAATCATAGGTTTGCCTACCCGTCAGCGCTTGTTTAACGTCACGAGCCTGACGTACCTCGTTCAAGTTACCTCTACAAGGGCAACAATGGTTGTTCCCCTGTCTATTTCTCCTCCCATGTATAGTTTCAGTCGTTGACCATTCATTGCGATGCTCCTATCAGAATCCAGCGGACTGATCTCCACTGCTCCATATGATTTCATGTTCCTTACGATGAATGGTCCCGACCATCGGGACTTTAGTTTCTCAGGAAAGAGGTGAAGACGAGAGTTAGAAAGTAATACCTGATTTCCCACCTTAAAGTCTCGAGGCAGGATCTTCTTGTCATGCCACTTCTTCGTCTTCTCTTTGTACAGACTTGCACTCTCGTACGCAGATACTCTGAACTCGTCGAGCTCATCCAGTTGAAGCAATCTTTTCTCAACTGCTGTCTTGGAGTCGAAGTTCAGGTACTTGATTGCCCACTGTTCTTTGTGCTACAATTCTACTGGTATGTGACAAGCTTTTCCGAAGAAACCTACCTTTTGACAACCTTACTAATAGAAAGGGGAAAGCTCAAGCAAGGGGGACATACCTATTGGTGTCTTAAAGGCAGTCCGGTATGCCCACAGTGCATCATCAAGCTTCTTGGACCAATCTTTTCTAGAGCTTCCCAATGTTTTCTCCAAGATACGCTTTAGCTCTCGGTTGGAAATCTCTACTTGACCACTTGTTTGCGGATGATATGGTGTTGCAATCTTATGCTTCACGCCACATTTAGCCAGTACGTATTCTACTTGTCTGTTGTCAAAGTGAGTTCTTCCGTCACTTATGATTGCTTGTGGTACTCCATATCGAACGAATATATTTCTTTTTAAGAATGCAATGACCACCCAAGCATCATCAGTAAGAAGGGCAACAACTTCAACCCATTTGGAGACGTAATCAACCGCAACGAGGATGTATTTGTTGCCATATGAAGGAGGAAAGGGTCCCATGAAGTCTATTCCCCATACATAGAAGTTTTCAACCTCCAATATGTTATTGAGGGGCATTTCATGTCTTCTAGAGATGTTGCCCGTTCTCTGACATCTATCACAGGATTCAACGAACTTACTTGCATCCTTGTAAAGTGTTGGCCAATAGAAGCCGCTCATCAGCACCTTTGCAGCTGTTCTTTCTCCTGCGAAGTGTCCACCGTAGATGGAACCATGTCAATGCCACAGGATGTCTTTCATCTCTTCTTCTGGAATGCAACGCCTTATTACTCCATCAGCACATCTGTAAAACAGGAAATGCTCATCCCATAGGTATTTCTTGACATCATATAGAAACTTCTTCCTTTGTTTCCATGTGAAGTCTATTGGAATTTCTCCTGCTGCTTTGAAGTTTGCAAAATCCGCGAACCAAGGAGGTGTACTTGTGGTCTTTACTTCCTCTGGTTGTGGATCTGCGATGACATTGATAGCCATGATTTGTTCATCGGGAAACTCCTCTCTGATCTTCAACTCAGGTCCATCTTGAAGATCTTTTTCTTGAATTCTGGAGAGGTGATCAGCCACCAAGTTTTCCACACCTTCTTGTCTCTGATTTCCACTTCAAATTCTTGAAGGAGCAGCATCCACCTGAGTAATCGTGGCTTTGCATCCTGCTTATTCAACAAATACTTTAAAACAACATGATCAGTGTAAACAATTACTTTAGACCCCAGCAAATATGGTCTAAATTTATCAAATGCATAGACAATTGCTAGTATTCTTTTTCAGTGGTTGCATAATTCATTTATGCATCATTCAGAATTTTACTAGCATAATAAATCATATGCAACAATTTGTTCTTTCTTTGTCCTAAGACAGCTCCTATTGCATAATCACTAGCATCACACATTAATTCAAAAGGTAGTGTGAAGTCAGGTGCAATGAATATAGGTGCAGTGGTCAATTGATCTTTTAAAATATTAAATGCTACCAAACATTCATCTGTAAAGTTGAATTCTTCATCTTTGACCAACAGCTTGCATAATGGCTTTGCTATCTTGGAAAAGTCCTTGATAAAGCGTTTGTAGAAACCTGCATGACCGAGAAAACTTCGAATGCCTTTAACGTTAGAGGGAGGGGGAAGTTTCTCAATAACAGATATCTTAGCTCTATCTACTTCTATACCATCTTGGGACACTTTATATCCTAGAACTATGCCATCTTTTACCATGAAGTGGCATTTTTCTCAATTTAACACAAGATTACGCTCTTGACATCTTTGTAAAACACAAGATAAATTTTCTAAACAAACGTCAAAAGAGGGACCAAAAATAGAAAAGACATCCATAAAGATCTCAATAGATTTTTCAATCATATCAGAACAGATGGAAAGCATGCACCTTTGAAAAATTGCAGGAGCGTCGCACAAGCCGAAGGGCATCCTCCGGTAAGCGAAGACTCCGTAAGGGCATGTAAATGCTGTCTTTTCTTGATCTTCTGGAGCTACTGCTAGTTGGTTGTAGCCTGAGTACCCATCCAGGAAGCAGTAGAAGGCATGGCCAGCTAGTCTCTCCAACATCTGGTCCAAGAAAGGGATGGGGAAATGGTCTTTCCGAGTGGCTGTGTTTAGTCTTTTGTAGTCAACGCACATCCTCCATCCGGTGACTGTCCTTGTTGGAATCAATTCATTGTTCTCATTTCTCACTACGGTGACTCCACCTTTCTTGGGTACCGTTTGTACCGAACTTACCCATGCACTATCAGATATAGGGTAGATCATACCTGCATCCAATAGTTTAACTACTTCTTTCCTAACCACCTCTTTCATGGTTGGATTGAGTCTCCTTTGCAGTTGCCTCACAGGTTTAATATCATCTTCCATTAGAATTTTATGAGTACAAAGGAAGGATTTATACCTTTTAAATCGGAGAAGGACCATCCTATGGCAGCTTTGTGCTTCTTCAGCACTTTGAGAAGCTTCTCTTCTTCTGCGGTTGACAGCTCAACATTGATGATGACTGGATACATATTGTTGTTGATGGGACGTAAATTCGTTCCCATCTAAGCCCTTTTTGATGGCAAAATACCATACGTTCCCTCATCTGATGAGCAACTTCAGCATGAAAATCACTTGTTTACACATTTGTGACAAAAACACAGTGGGGGAACGGATGGTAACGTATTCCTTTAAAATATATTAAAAGGGGAACGGACAGAGACACATTTAATGCACCTGCTCCATTCATTTAATGCTTCTGTACACTTTGCAGGTAACGTAGAGTTAAAGACTTCTAAAAAGCAAGGCGGTGCACCAACTGAGCAGCTGGAAACGTGAAGAGCAGGGAATCAAGAGTTCTCATTGGCTGAAAACAGAAGCAAAAAATGGGAAGGCCTGCAAACAACGGCTAATCATCACCAAACCCTGTTCCATTCAGCAATACACGCAAGCTTCACACTCTACTGCCACCGTCCCGTCCCCTCATTCAAGCAACTAGCTCCAAGGGAATTACAGTCTTGTCATTCCTCTTCCAGCTATAAATAGGACCTCCCTCACACAAAAACATCATCGAATCCTGGAGGGTTTGCAGTCCGAAAGGAAGAGATCACTTAGTAGTTTGGGGTGTTCGCGGTCTGGATGAGATCGGTTTTGGAAGCAAAACTCATCCGATCCAATCCTTTCGGTTTGATCATGTAATCATCCATTCGGTTTAGATTTTTTTTCAAATTCGATCCGATCCAATCCAATTTTTTTCAGTTTGGATTGGATCGGTTTTCGGTTTTTTGAATATCCTAAAATTAGTTTCATGATTATTGTGCAAATAACATCTTTTGTATATATTGGCTTTGTAAATTTTTTTTTTTGAAATACAAAAATATCAGTAAACAATACTATAATTGATGAGACGTGACTAAGTTTTTTTTTGATTTAATTAATGAGTTAATGGGTCTTGGATTTAGAAATTTTCGGGCTATGGTTGGGGAAAGGACCAAGTAGGTAGAGGATAATTAATATATTGGATCGGTTTAGATTGGATCGGTTTTCATCAACCCATCCGAAAACCGATCCAATCCAATTAAAATTTGCGGTTTTTTTCGGTTTTCGATTTTTCGGTTTTCGGATTATTCGGTTATCGGTTTTTCGGTTCGGTTTTCGCGGTTTGAATCGGTTTGGATCGGTTGATGAACACCCCTATTAGTAGTAGTTAGTAACTTAGTTTAATTTTCAGTTGTAATTATAGTTAAGCGACAACCCCTCTTCCCTTCTCTGTAAACAACCATCAAGACTCCTCACGAGCAATTACCCATCTTTCTCCATTTTCCGTTTCTTTTTGTAAATTGTCTTTTAAATTAATATAAGTATTTTTCTCTTCGTTCCAATCGTTGTCTCTTGACTGAATCTCGGGTCTATGTGATCTCAGTTGAGAATAATTATGTTTAAACTATCAGCCATGAGCTGAACTATCTGTGGAACGGGTAAACTGTGAAACTCTTAAAGAACTGTTTTCAAAACTCTTGACCAAAGCTTTTTGTATTTCTTTGGCTGAGTAAGCTATATTCATTGTGCGCCAATGGAAATTGGGTACATACTGAGAAAGGAACTTCCATAAGGAAGGGATTTCAGACAACTTAGCCATTGGGGGAAGGTAGATGTCATGGAAAAAACGCTACTGGTCATCTTAGGAATAAGGGGCCAACTCGTCCATTTTAAGGTTCTGAACTAAGTACCTGTTAGAGTCAAGGGATCCATAGGAATATGGAAACTTGTGAGCCATCTAGACCATGAGCTAAGGAATCAGAGTTGGCAGGCAAAGAAATTGCGACAAAGCCAAAAGGTGCTAAGTCTTGAGCAGAGAAAACAACCCCTTTAAGAGTGAAGCAGTGAATCCGTTCCTTCTGTTAAACTGTTTTAACCACCACCTTGTTGTCTCTTGATTATAGTTTTTTATGTTTTAGTAATTTTATTTTATTTTATTTAAGTACTTATAAAAACTCCAATGATTGTTATCTCACCTTTTTCTAAACAGGAAGGATCACATACATAACGCAGCGAGCAACTCTTTGCCATCAGGTTGAACCTATTGTTCCTGAGGAACGTTGTCAAGACAGTAGGGAACGTTTGACCAGACAGTTCATTTACTAACTTTTCTTCTCATTTTCACTCTTTATAAACAGTGATAAAACAATAATTAGCACTCTATCCTCGTGGGAACGATAATTTGGGCATTAATACTCCCTTTATTACTTGATGTGTGCACTTGCGCACTTGGGTTGGAACTGAGGGACAAATCTGTGTTCTGCAAGAACAGAAGAACATCCCCTATCAGAACTTATATTTTTCCACCATCAGCAAACCACCCAACAAGTTTTTGGCGCCGTTGCCGAGGATAGAAACACTAATTGTTGTTCTTATCATTGTCTTCTAACACATATACTGTATATCTGACTTTACTTTTATATTTTCTTCTTTATCACTGAATCTGCTGTGCATATATATGCCCTGTGCTATTGGTTTATGAGTGAAGAGTTTGAAACAGATTCTAACCACTCCATTGGAGTACCTGAGTTTCTCTTTGATCCTGAGCCAGAACGCACACTCCATAGAAAAAGAAGGAACCTCAGGGAAAGATTTCCTGAAAACATGGCTGATCACAATAATAACAATGAAGAGGTTCCCCCTGAACAGAACTTTAGAACTTTGGCTGCTCCTTTCAGGAACAGACCAGATAGGGGAGTAATCCTTCCCCCTGTAGCACCAAATTTTGAACTAAAACCTATCATGTTCCACATGATTAGGGAAGTAGGGTTCTTCAATGGACTCCCTGCAGAAGATCCTTACACACACCTCACAACATTCCAAGATATTTGTGATAATTTTAAAGCCGAGGGTGTAACAGAGGAGAGCATGAGAATGAGGTTGTTCCCTCACTCCTTGGGTTTAAAAGCTAAAATATGGATGAAAACTCTCACCCCTGGATTAATCCACACATGGGAAGAACTCTCTAACAAGTTCATAGAGAGATTTCTCCCAATGTCTCGACAAGCTGATGTTAGAGATGAAATCTCTAACTTCAAAATGT